CAGATCTCAAAAGAATGCTCGTTGGGAAAAAATTTTCGTCGAATGAAGAGGTGATCGCCGAAACTGAGGCCTATTTTGAAGCAAAGGACAAATCGTACTACAAAAATGGTATCGAAAAGTTGGAGGATCGCTATAATCAGTGTATCACCCTTGAAGGGAATTATGTTGAATAAAAAAAACGAATTTTGCAAAAAACATGTGTTTTACTATTTTAGGCCGGGGACTTTTCAACTGACCTGTTATTTATGAACAGTAATCTAATATAGGTCTACCTCTATGCCTCTTAACTCCGGTTTCAGCCTCTCGCCCTAATTCTTATTGACTTTCACCTCTGTCCTCTGTTCACCTTTTTTTTTTAATACCTCCTCATTTCAAATCTTCTCTATCCACGTATCCTCATAATTCGCCTGTAACACCACATTTCGAACGCTTCTAACCTTTTCTTTTTCGCCGCACCCACTGTCCATGTTTCGCTTCCATACAACGCCGCGCTCCAAACATACACCTTTAACAGCCTTTTTGAGATTTCTAAATTAACCGTTCTCAAGCATAAAAGTGACAGCTGTTTTTGTTGAAGGCGACTCAACCTTGCGCTGTCTTCTGTTTTATATTTCTACTGCTTCTTCCATCCTGACTTATCTGACCTCCTAGATATCGAAAATCAGCCGTTTCTTCCTTTTTCTCTTGCATACCAGCAATTTTGTTTTATTTTTATTTATTTTCGTATAATGCTGTTTTGTCAATACCATGTTTAGACTATATCTGTAACTCTTTCTTGCTAGGTGCGAATACTGCTATATTATCTGTCAATTTAAGTATATTAATTTTTTGTCCCTGTATATCTTTTCGTACAGTTGTTCCGTCTTTAATGTTAATCGCGTCTTCGATGTTATTAAAAAATAGTGTGTAAAAAGTGACAGTGTGCATCCCTGTCTGACTCCCTTCCTAATATTAACTTCCCTACGTTCGTGCTCAACATCTAAAATACATGTTGCTACAAAAATGTATCACTGTTCTTCTTCGAAAATCTATTGGAGAAGAAATTATACCAGCCTCAATATTAGTAACGTAAATTCTAAATAGCTTTCTTTCTAAAGACTTGGTTAGAGATCTCTGTGTAACTTACAATTAAATCCTGAAATGCAACAATCGTAGTTTTTCCTTCCCAAGAAAATACCAATTCTGGGAAATTAATTTTGACAAATTTCGAATTGTGGTAGTTGATGCAAAGTATTAATATAAGTATACTTATCGCTGATAATTTTGTCTTTATCACTTTATACAAATTTAATTTTGATTTATGCTCATACCTCCGATTAATTAATATAAGTAATATAACAGTAAATTTGAATGTTTATTCGACTTAACTATTCTACTTCTTTAACATTACTTTAAATACGTATTATTTTAAACTTGAGAACTGCAAAATCATACATCTCAGATGACAAGATCCTTTGGTTAGGTAATAGGGAAAGGAACGTTCACCAACAGGAAGAAATTAAATACTTTGAAATCAACCTCCATAGTCAAATTTAATTGTTTAATTTATGAAGTGTCTATAAAAATAAAGAGTAATTACTGAAAATGCTCTTTGTATGCTGAAATAAACAACACATAGTCTGTTTAATTAATTAAAGAGACCTCAAGTTACACAATAAGGTACGTAGATACACATGCAAAGTTTAATAAGTAGCGCGCGTACTTGCTCACGTTCAACCAATACTATAATAGAGAAGAAAATGTGATATCGCAAATTACAGACCAATTTCCATTTTGAGCATATTTGATTTAAGCTTCTGATGCTATTGTTACAAATTATCTTTCGTGACAATTCTCAAGTCGCATTATAAGTCAGAATTTGAATTTTATTGCAAATAAAATAAAAGGCAAGGCGCACTATGGGGAACCAAACGGAACCGAACCGAAGAGAAATATTTTCGCTAGAAACTCGACCACTTTAGTTACTTATAATACAAAACGTAAATAACAGAAAATATAAAAGAAATGGGTATAAGGAAGTGCAATATGGATAAATAGAGGGAAAAATTCTAAAATTGAATTTAAAAAAATATACAGGGCATTCCATTTAAAAAGCAAAGTTTTGATTGTTCGAAGTTACGTAAATTCGGCATTAAATTTTCGTCATCCTGTATAATACTAAACAACATTTAACGTAACTGTAATAAATGATGGACATCCCCCTATCTTCCTTTCATATATTAATACTTCAGCTTGCATAATATAATAAATATGCAATTTTGAGATAGACAATGAAAAAACACTTTTTTTTTTTGATAAAGTTGAAGTAAAATGCTACAAGAATGGTATTATCTTCTTTAAAGAGGGGAACCCACGAAAACCTTTTTTAAAAGAATTTTAAAACTTTATATATCGTAAAGTAGTTTCTGAAATATTCTAATGGACTCCAACCGTAAGATACCCTATATGTTACAAGTTCCATTGCGATTACTGGTACTTTGTTTTTGTTATTATTGTCCTAGTCTTCACAGTTTCCAATGGTAACTTTGAGCAAGTGAAGACGAGCTAATGCCAAAGAACCTCACTCACATCATTTGGGATACGATATGGAAACCAATTTTATGTTCTTAAATTTTATAAAGCTAACAGTACTTTTTGCCCTGAAATATAATAAGTGATTATTAAGAACTCCGTTTCTTATTTAACCTATTGTGTTTTCTGAAAAGGGGGATATTTTAGTACTGTTAAGAAATCCGCATGTATCAAGGATTACTGATTTCAGTAGACTTATGTACGTAAGCTTATGTAGTTTCAACTCGGTATAGCGCCTATTAATGATATTATTATTGGAATAATTCGAACTGTGTTCTTATTCCACATTTCTTTTATTTCATCTGCCAAAGAAATATATTTTTCAATTTTCTGAATATATTTTTGTTTAAGATGTTCAGTGTTTGGTACAGCAACATCTATTAGGTATGTTGTTTTAGTTTTTTTTTTGAAGATAAGTGTGATATCAGGTTTGTTACGATTAAATGTTTTGTCTGTAATTATGTCTCTATCCCAATAAAGCTTGGCTAAGTGGTTTTCTAATACATTTTGTGGTTTGTATTTATAGTACGGCTCTAATTATTTTATTATTTTACTACAATAGTATTATTTTATCCTATAAAATAATTCGAAGTGGTCTGTATTCTGTCGAAACTACCAGACGCGGATTGCGATTTCGATCTTTTTGCATCTCATCAGCGCGTCGCAGACAGCTCCGACAGAACACAGACCAACTTTTACCTGCTGTCTTAACATAACATATAAAATACCACAAATGGCGCGGTAAACGCCATCTGTTGTACGCATGCTCCAACAAGGTCCATTTAACTATATGGATATCTAATTGCTGAAAAGAATCCCGGCGTAGCTAACCTCAACGTGATAGGCACGTTACCATAATCGAATAAAATAATTATGCCAGTTCTGGAAGTTTCGACAGAATACAGACCACTTCGAATTATTTTTGATTCGATTATGGTAACGTGCCTATCACTTTGAGGTTAGCTATGCCGGGATTCGTTTTAGCAAGTAGATATCTATATATTTAAATGGACCTTGTTGGAGCATACGTAATCCTAAAATGTAGCATCGTACTACAGATGGCGTTTACTGCGCCATTAGTGGTATTTTCTTATTTTATCCTGTCCGTCATGTGAACAGAACGAGAACATACCTATGATGACCGCAGATCATTGATCCAAGACATTTTTACGTTTTATTTTGACTTCACCTTCTCTATATTGTTACAACAAATATTCTCTTTCGACTTAAACTAAAAATAGGTCACTTGATGGACAGGATAAAATAATCCTACTGTAGAATGGATTCTATAGTTCTGCGTGGTCTACGAACTTACCTTCATCGTATATTATCATGACTGGTTTAGCTTCTCTCAGGATATGTTCAACTCTCGCTGCAGGAAAACTGGGATCTATGGGTAGATAAGCCGCACCAGATTTTAAAATTGAAAGAAGAGTGATGACTAGGTAATCAGAGGGATGCATGCTCACTGCAACAATGAAATCCCCATCTTTGTTTCCAGTCAATCGAAAGTCTTTCACGTTTTGAACGATAACGTTTGCCAATCTGTTTGTAAGGTCATCCAACTCGCTGTATTTATATTTTTTCGTTTTACCGTTTTCTGAAAACAAAATGAATAATAATTTATAGCACCTTCTATTGTTTAATCCGCAACTTTAGGATCAGTTGGTTGTTTAGATGAAATGCAGGTGAATGAAAAATTTTTTTGGGAAATTTCTCAGTCCGAAATATAAACTAAAAATATCATCTAAAGTAATATATTAATAATCCAATACATTAGACCAGGCCTTCTTAAACTATGGGTCGCGACCCCAAATGGGATCGCGTAGCGAAGTTCTGGGATCGCGAGAAATTTTAATGTCAAATATTTAAATATACGATTTTATAACATCTAGATGTGTACCTATTTGTTTTTTTAATTTTATTTATCTTTCTTTTATATTTATATGGGGTCGCCAGGAAACTCGCAATCATAAATGGGGTCGTGAATGAAAAAAGTTTAAGAAGCCCTGATCTA